CTGGTAATTTCAATGGACTTGGGGGCTTTGAAACTTCTGCGGTAGCAGACAATAGTGCCTTCAGGGAATTAATCACAGCTAAAGAAATTGAAAAGAATGTGCAGGAGATGACTAAGGGATCTGCTCCAGGTCCAGATGGGATTACCCTCGGGGACATCAAGAAGATGGACCCTGGGTACTCTCGGACTGCAGAGACCTTCAATTTATGGTTAACATCTGGTAGAATCCCTGACATGGTGAGGGGGTGCAGAAGCGTTCTGATTCCTAAATCAATAAAACCTGACCGTTTAAAAGACATTAACAACTGGAGACCTATCACGATCGGTTCCATCCTGCTAAGACTATTCTCCAGGATTATAACAACCAGATTGAGTAAAGCGTGCCCCCTCAACCCAAGGCAAAAAGGCTTCATCAGAGCGGCGGGAGGCTCTGAGAACCTGAAACTCCTGCAAACTATAATTCGATCTGCCAAAAGAGAACACAAACCATTGGGTGTTGTATTTGTGGACATTGCCAAGGCTTTTGACACGGTCAGCCACCAACACATCATACATGCTCTGCAACAAAGGGGAGTGGATCCCCACATCGTAGGGCTGGTGAACGACATGTACAAGGGCATCAGTACACGTATCACCACAAAGAGGAACACACACACAGACAAAATCCAGATCCGGGTTGGAGTAAAGCAGGGTGACCCGCTGTCACCCCTTTTATTTAACCTGGCAATGGACCCCCTGCTGCGCAAGCTGGAAGAGAAGGGTAGAGGCTACCACCAGGGACAGAGCAGCATCACAGCGATGGCGTTTGCCGATGATCTGGTCCTGTTAAGCGACTCCTGGGAAAACATGAGAATAAACATCGAAATATTAGAGACATTTTGCAATCTTACGGGTCTCAAAACACAAGGGGAAAAGTGCCACGGCTTCTACATCAAGCCCACAAAGGACTCCTACACTGTCAATAACTGCGCTGCCTGGACTATCAATGGCACTCCCCTAAACATGATTAACCCCGGTGAATCGGAAAAATACCTAGGCCTGCAGTTTGACCCCTGGACTGGGATAGCAAAGTGCAACCTTGCCAATAAACTAGAAATCTGGCTGGAACGGATCAATCAAGCTCCACTCAAACCCCTGCAAAAACTCGACATCCTCAAAACATACACCATCCCTCGACTGACCTACGTAGCTGACCATGCGGAAGTGAAGACAGGGACCCTTGAAGCCCTCGACCAAAAGATTAGAACAACGGTAAAAGACTGGTTACATCTACCTACGTGCACCTGCGACGCCATCCTGTATTCGAGCACGAGAGACGGCGGGCTGGGTGTCACCAAGCTGGCAGGCCTGATCCCCAGCGTGCAGGCCAGAAGATTACATCGGATCGCACAATCCTCTGACGAAGTAATGAAAGAATTCTTGGAGAAAGCTGAAATGGAAAAAAGATATGAAAAACTGTGGATTCAAGCTGGAGGAAAGAGGGAGAAGATGCCTTCAATCTGGGAAGCACTGCCAGCAGACCAACCATCTAACAACGTGGGCACAATTTCGGAATGGGAAGCACCGACCCCGAAAAATAAATTTCCTAAACCATGCAATTGGAGAAGAAAAGAATTCAAAAAATGGACCAAATTGTTGTCCCAAGGCCGTGGAATTAAGAATTTTAAAGGTGACAAAATTAGCAACAATTGGCTGCAATATTACAGACGCATACCTCACAGGAAGCTCCTCACTGCACTACAACTTAGGGCCAACGTGTACCCCACGAGAGAATTCCTCTCCCGGGGCAGAGAAGAAACATCTACCAAAGCATGCAGACACTGTGATGCGGAGAACGAAACCTGCGCCCACATCATCGGCAACTGTCCAGTGACACAGGACGCTCGAATCAAGAGGCACAACAACATCTGCGAAGTGCTTCTTGAGGAGGCAAAAAAGGCGGACTGGGTGGTGTTTAAAGAACCGCACATAAGGGATATCAACAAGGAACTGTACAAACCAGACCTAATTTTTGTTAAGGACAATCGGGCAATAGTTGTAGACGTAACAGTACGATACGAGACAACAAAAGCATCGCTTGAGGAAGCCGCTGCAGAAAAGGTAGACAAATATAGACATCTGGAAACAGAGGTACGTAACCTCACCAATGTAAAGGACATTACTTTTCTGGGTTTTCCTCTTGGAGCGCGGGGGAAATGGCACAAAGGGAACTTTGAACTTTTGAGTACTCTTGGACTCTCCAAATCAAGGCAAGAGACAATTGCAAAGACTCTATCCGCAGACGCGCTCTTGTCATCTGTGGACATTGTACATATGTTCGCCAGTAGGGCCAGACAAATACGTAATCTAGGTTAAATGAAATTTATATTTTTTTTTATTATTACTTTTTTTTTCTAGTTTTATTGTAGATTCCTTTTAGGATTTAGGTATGTCTTTTCCTATGGTATGCATTTATCGGTTTTTTCTTTTTATTTTATTATTGCAATATTTCTTTCTATTGTTGTAATGCTATTTGAACATGTTAACAATTGCTTTTTAATAAATTTGACGGTAGCCAGGGACGTGAGGTACGCCACAAGCCAGTTAGGTAGCTCATAGTAGGTAGGGACGGATTTTAATTTTTATTTCATAACGCGTCAATTACCACCCGATTTGGACTAATTTACCGGATTTGGACCAATTTACCGGATTTGTTCAAGGTGGACGGGCCACCTTTACTTAACCCGGAAAAGGAACATATATTAATTATATGTGTTCGAAAAAGTAGCCAAATGACTCACAGCCAAATGACTCACAGCGATGGCGTTTGCCGATGATCTGGTCCTGTTAAGCGACTCCCAGCGGCGCGGGCGCTCGAGGGCGCCCGGGCTAGCGCGGTCCGCCTTCGCGCTCTCCTCCGCGCGGGTCCCAGGCCCG